GAAGTAATTTACTTTGGAACAAAATTATTAATCCCGATCTATTTAAAATACGAACGGATAATGAAAATTTATGAATATTTAATCTTACCACAAAACAAAACAAAAGTTCGTTACAACTGTTTTCGAAACACGCGCTGAACACTAGTACGACCGAAGCGCCATCTACTCAAATTTAAATATCTTTAAAAAATTCTTTCTTCTAATCGTCTGCCATATTGTTTTTTTTTTTTCGCTAAGATTTTCTAATTATAAACGTAATCTGCCTTCCATTTATGTATAATTGTATTAAAAGTTATTTAAAAAAGATTCTTACAGTTAAATTTATGAATGAAGTCCACTAAATTACAATTTACAATATTGATATTACGCAAATTTATTTAATTTTGGGTTATTGTCTTGCAATATTTATCCATAATCGTTATTTTTGTAATTTATTTTTATATAAAAATAATTTCAAAACAAATTTTTTATTTTCAGATTGTATACAAAATACACTTAGGTAATAATAAATTACTATATCGCCTATAAATACATCTGAACGGCCAATGCAAAATGCCACGCTCAATGGAATAATAGTAGGATGCCTGTCGTATATCTCTGCTGTACAAGACTAACATCAACACAGCCACACTTAGGAACTTTAATACTCTTTTATTACAGCAATTCGAAACATGAATAAAATGTCTTCGGCGAGTCGTAGGTACCGAAAACTACCGTTTTCCACGTAGCCATTGCTGTCGTCTCTACCCTCGGCTCTAATCTCTGCGGCCCCACACTCATAGTCCAAAAGTCCAAATACATAAAATTCCTCCCCTTAAATAACATAGTCTTCCATCCAAACAGGGAGACGCTTGATTCGAACCGGTCTTACTTGGTGGATCAATGGTATGTGGTCTTTCTGTAGTTTTTTCACTTGCGTCTGAAGTCTTCGGCGGTTCGTCACTTGACCCATGCGCTCCCAAATCTTGATTATCATTTGCAGGAGGCTTTGACATCTTCGACGACGGGAAAGATTCTGGATAAGGGTTTTCCACCAGTCATCGTCGCAGGAACTCATTACGGAGGACATCTTCATACACGGATTTATCGTAGGGAGGGCATACACAGGATCCAAATGGCAAAGGCTCGAAATCTTGAAGAACCACGGTCTGATTGATTTTCGACTTGTTTATCTCATATTGCTTTCGCGAAATCCGGGTGTAGTTAATCCAAATATGTCTTCAGGTAGCGATTAATCATTAGCTCTAATGGGAAGATACTTGTAGCCGCATTAGTAGTAGTCATTGGCCCTCAGGAAAATTCTGGTTTCGAAGCCATCTTGTTCTAAATTAGAAGTGGGTAGTTCCACATCGATTGTTAAGACGGTTCCAACCAGAACTATCAATACTAACACGTTCTTCATTCTGTACTTTTACAAACACGGAACGGAACGGCAATTCTTTATTTGGATTTGAACTTGAACTAATGAAAATGTTCCACGGGTTTTTAGGAATAATCAAATTACTTTAGAGTATAAGAGTGAGGGTATCCGGATTTCACGAAAATATATTTTCCCCAGAGTCCAGAGAATAAGCATGAAAAATTTGGTGCGGATCGGACATAGGGTTTAGGGGTTAATAGGGGAATGTAATCAGGAGTTTTCATCCCCAGGTTTCGTGATGGTATCTTAAAAAAATATAGAATGGGTTAAACAAAAATTGGAGCAGATCGACCAAAGAACAGAGAGACAAACATTTTATATCCTATATAAAACCGACGAGGGCTGTCTCGTCCAACAGACTAAGTAATTTTGACATTATAGTGATTCCGAGGAACTGTCTAGTCCAACGATTCCGACAGAACCGTTCCGCACTCAAATCAGTTCCAACAGTACCAGTTCCAATAGCGGAACTGGCCTGGATTTTCCACCTCTAGATTATACTACTGTGATGAAAAAGTATTGGAAATGGTTCATATAAACTACACTAGTGGAAGGCGGTTTTTTCTGTCGTTTCGTACGATTTTTGTAGACATCTAGCAACAATCCGTATGTCATAGTCTATTTTTTGTTTGCAAATAAAACTTATTTTGCATGCAAGAAATTTTTGCGTCGGCAATTTTTCAAAATGTCTAGTGTAATCGAGCAAAGAACGTGCATTAAATTTTGTTTTTGCAATGGAATTACTGCTATAGAAACGTAGGAAACGTTGTAAAAAACTTTTTGATGATGATAGCCTATCAAAAGTAAGAGTTTTTGAGTTGTACAAGATGTTCGAGGAGGGCAGATAACGCGTTGAAGATGAACCACGCTCTTGTAGATCATTTACTTCAACTGATGAACCACTCGAGTCAGAGAGTTGGTGCTCAGTGATCGTCGTTTAATAATTAGGGACATTATTGAACATGTTCCGATATCATTTGGATCTCTTCGAGCAATTTTAAAAGATCAGTTAGGATTGCGGCGCTTATCAATATTTTACCGTAGAATTAAAATCGAATGAATGGCTGAATAATAGTGGTAGTTAAAGCGTCAGCCTACTGTTTTTGCCAGACGTGCACCGATTAAAGAATTATCGGCAGCTCGCGCTATAATCACTAACACAAGTTTCCCATTTAAAAAACTGATAACTATAAAATAATAATAATAATAACGCATGAATAGACAACTACAACTCGCATATAATAATGTTAGGTGGAATTTCTATTTTCAAAATTATTCGGAAAATTTAAATTATATATGAAGTTCGATTTTAACTTTCAACCCTGTGGGCTGGGGCCTTTTTGGCAAAGTCCAATACGGTTGAGCCAAGTTCAGGATGGGGCGGCCGAATGTGAAGTAAGAGGCCCGACGTATATCCCCGAAAAATTTTTAGGGTTTTTCGACCCGTCGGTATTCGATAAACAAACAAATCTATTTTATTAATATGTAAATTTACTTTTGTCCTAATAAATGGTAATAAGTGGTAAACTTTTAAATAGGGTTTAGATTAATCATCTTTATTTTATTTTGGTTCTAGAAATGCTTTGTGTAGCTACCAAATGTCAATCTTTTTTCTCTAGAAAGTGAAAAAAAAATTTCATAAATGAAGATATTAATAAATATTCATAAAATTTAATATTTGTTTTATAAATTGAAATCGATTTTTTTACATTTAATAAAGATTTTCGTTGAAAAGCATGGATCCAATTACTATAACAATACATTCAGCACACAAATCTTATTTTAGTTAGTGAATATTTTATAATTTAAATTTAATAAATACAACATAAATTGTTTTATTGTATTAATTACAATAATATTTGAAAAACAAACGTCTGGTCCAATTTATTTATTCCTAATACAAAATTATTTAAATAAAGAAATAAAAATTAATAATTTGAAACTCCTACTTGTTGGAATTATTTATTTTTANTATATATTTTTTTTTTAAACATTAAAAATGTTATACATATTGTGTAATGTTCAAAAGACACAAAAAATTCCTATAGAACATTATGTAATTCCTATTAATTGAAAAAATACATAATAAACAAAAACGAATTTTACTTCAGATCCATAATTTAGATGAGTATTTAATTTCTTTTACATACAAATATTTTATTTAAAAAATTCTCATAGTATATATATTTTAAATTTTTCAGAATGACTTTTATTTAATATATAATAGTTTGATATTTTGCAACAAAATGCTATGGAAAGACATTTAAACAAAAAAGGAGGCAGTTGTATATTACATATTTAAAAAATAATAAATTAAAGCTGCAATGTTAAAAATTAACATAGGAACTTTTAAATCAATACTGAAAAATTACAGTAAATTGATGAAATGTACATAACACATACAGGATTTCATACATGTTTAAAGATTCACACTTGTAAAATACATGTACACTACTCACAATCAGTAAAAATTTTAACATAAAATGTAAAATTTACTTCTACTATTGCTTGATTTATTATTTTTTACATTATATATATTTGTATATATTGTATATATAAAATAAAATCATAAAATGTATATTAATTCATTTTTTCTATTTATAGTAAACAATTTATCTACAATAGTTATGTATATAATTAAAAAAAATTATTCTATAATTATGATTCTTTATATATAAAAAAGAATATTAAATGTACATGATAATATAAGAATAATTTAAAAATACCTAAAAATGCTTTTAACCTAATTGGCTATTATTTTTAAGAATCATTATTGTTGTTTTTATATGTTTCATTTTAAAATTAATACCGACAATGAGATAATCTCATATTTGGTAATAAATGATTATGAAAGACAGCAAGTGAGACTAGTTGTGTTTTGAAGATATTTTACAAGGGGAACACAGATTGAAATTATTATTCATTCTGTGTATGGCATTGTTCCCATAGTTGTTATTGTTGATAAAAATTAACTCTTACTGGCATTGTGTATTTTACAGTCAATATTTGGAGTTTGAATATTTCAAACTCTCTGGGAAAGTAAATGTCATTGCCATTTTGCTTTCTGTGCAAATATATCAGCTCTCAGATTCTGAGCAAAACAAATGCCTAAAATCTGTAAAGAAATAATTTAAATTTATAAGCATAAAATGTTGTTATAATTAATTAAATTAATATAATAAAATATATTATATTAATATATAAATATATTATTACAAGCATAATATGAACAAGCATAAAATATTATTTTAGGATTGTTTCTTAATTACAGTTACATACTTGTAAAACAGCTACTGCCACAGCTACACCTGCAACAGGTACTAAATTAGCTTCTATCCATTCTTCTCCAGCCCTTAAACATCCTTTCTCATATATGACTGCAGACTTATCCACAGACTAAAAATAAAATTACATAATATATTTATTAAATATTCTTATTCATTTTTAAACAATTTTAATATGCAATAGATTAAAGTATTTTTATTTCATGTATCACTTGCAATCAATTTTTGCAGTTCAAAATTAAGACAGAATTTTTCTTTCTTTAATTATGGACAGAAAGGTCATTTACCCTAAAAAATTTTTATATAAAACTCTGATATCAATCTTCTTAATGTTTATCTTGCTTAGTTACAAAGTCTGTTTGCACTAAGTTTTCTATCTTATGTAATCTGTAAATTTTCTACATTTAATTTAAGATTTATGAAGCATAAAGCATCACTCAATTAGTCAAGCAATCCTTTTAGTTCCATTATCATCTTTGCTACAGAGCTATCATGCCTATGCAGCATAGCAGATTTATTTGTAAGTAAATAAATAAAAACAAGAACTTATACTGGAATGAATAAATAATATAAAATAAAATAAACCTTTAACTATCCAGCAATAAATATGTTTAATAAAAACATTTTCAACTGTTTTTAAACAGCCATTTATTTGTAAGATGATCTGTGATAGTTAATAAATAAATAAGAGCAACAATTTTATGTAAGAATGGAAATACTTTCTACATAGACTATATGCATCTTGAGTAAATCTTAAAGAGAAGCAACTTTTAATTCATGTAATAAATAAAGCATGTGTAATTATTAAAGCACTATAACTTAAAGTACAAAAATTTAAACATAAGCATGTAACAAAATTTAAAAACAAAATGCTAAAAAATATTAAAATATAAACATTATTTAAAGAAATAAACTCCTGTTAGCAGTAAAGAAAAAGACCTTAGAGACACTCCTTTTGTATCCATCCTTGATTATGTGTATTTTCAACATTATTATACTGATGTGTAATAATGTTGAAAAATTATATCATATATAAAATCATTACCTTTAATAATTTTATCAAGTTGAAGAAAACACAAAGTGGGCATGATATATAATTTGATTTTCTTCCAATTTGAAACAGTGTCTTTTATCTATATTTATTCTTATTACACAATGAAGCATACTCAATAGATACCAGGCTTTACTTTACATCTTTCTTTATTCTGCTATTCCCACTGTCATGGACATCTTTATCTATTCAAAAAAATCTGTATATATGCAAGATCATGTATATAGATATCTGCAAATGATTTCCTTGTGATTCTTAGTGTTGAAATGACACTACATTCTTGGTTCTTTCTACACCTTTGTGAGCTATTAAATGGGCAGAATAAAGATGGATCTATTAGGACTGTCTATTGAATATGCTTCATTGTGCAATAATGATAAATATAATTTGATATTAAATTTTTAAAAAATATTTAGTATGTTAATTAAATAAGAAGCAGCATTCTAAAATGCTTTTTATTTCTATGATGAAAATGATTCTGAAATGACTTTTATTTAAAAACTCGCAGATGAGCCTGGCATTGTTCAGGCAAAAAGTAACGATAGCGAAAATTAAGATTATTAGATTATAGCTGATCTTACTCGTTTTTACCAGGTGCAAGAATTAGGTTCACCCTCTTCCGAGACTAATTAGAGAATTTTTAGATGGGTCTAAAAACATGTTCAATTTTCCACAAAAAACCGCATTTAAAACAGTATAGTAAAATCTGAATTCAGGATAATCCTTAACCCTCTCCCTCTCCTCCACAGGGGAAATTTCAGAACGTTCCTTAGTGTACATTCGTTCTAATGATGTATCCTAACTGTGTATCAAATTTCAACTTTCCACTCCTAACTGTTTGGGCTCTGCACTTATTATTATTATCAAGCTATGTTGATTATAAGATACTACAAATTTAAATCATTAGTGTTTTTGCATAAGAATACATAAAAAAGATGAGAAAAATTTGTTACATTAAATCTCTATATATTGTAAGAGCTTTAAAATATTTAATACTATTAATTAGACTTTACTTTTGTTTTACTGAGTTAACAATGTAAATTTGGTACTAAATTATATATGTAGGCTTCCTGTGTGTTCAGAATTGGACTGGACAGTCTGGGATGAGTGTTCTGGATTTTGACCAGGTTAACTGTTCAAGGATTCCTACAGCAACTTTGTGCCACAATGATGTCTATACAAGAGAAGTAATTATATAGGTAAAAAAAAAAATGGTAAATTGTATCATCTGCTTGTGAATTCTGTCCTTTCCATCTGCTCTAGTCTTGGTCTCTCTTGGCCAGATGGGAGTGACAGAATCCAATTTATTTGCAACAATATCATCTCAACATTTCTCAGTCCATCTGGACTATATCTACATAGTTTATTTTAAATCCTAACATTTAACTAGTTATTAATTCCAAACATTTTGAAATATTTTAAGTGAATAAACAAAAGAAAGATGATTAATCACAACCTTAATAAAATAAAATAGGGTTTGTTTGGGGAATGAAATACATTTTTAGGTAAACACAATATTGTATAGTTAGTACTAAAGTTTCAAAACTGGATTTTTTAAAAATCTGCTTTTGAATACCAACTAACCAATTTTTACTTCATCATTACTTCAGTTCAAATGTGTAAAAATGACCTAATGCTTACATATATGCAGATTCTTTGAATAGATAAAGATGTCCATGACAGTGGAAAAAGCATTAATAAATAAAGTAAAGATGCAAGAATAATTAATAAAATTAATGGCAATGACATCAGTAACTAAAATCAGTGAAATATAAGATAAAAATAAGGTTGGATTGTGGAATGAAAAATAGTGTTAGATAAACTGGGAATTGTATAGTAAGGAAGCAAAGTTTTGTTAATCTGGAACTAGAAAAAAGTGAAATTTCCAGAAGCCTTAAAATTCTACTGTCTAATATCCACCAGCATAAAACTGAAAANTTATACATATATAAAATGTAGCAAAAATATATATATTCATAAGAAAAATTATGTATGCATAACACAAGGTTATTTCATTTAAAAATGAAATTATCTTTAAATCAAAAATGTATGTATAATTATCCATATTTAGTTCAAATTATTTTAATTTAGAAATAGCAGAACATTAGGCAAAACATGTCTTTTTTAAATGTAAATCAAGACTTAATGTTAATTGCTTTTCTTATGTAAATGAAAATTATTAATTTAAATAATTATTATTGTAACCTGCTGCTATTTTAAGGAACAACAATACTGCTTTATTTAATTTACAAAAATATAGACAAAAAGAATTAGGTTAAGTGGCAAGTAATATGGCAATAGAATGTTTACAAACAACTTTAAATTGCATTATCTTTTCTGCAGAAATTTAATTATAGGTTCAAGTGTGCCATGAGATAAAAAAGAAGGTTGGAAAACATTGATCTAGGGGATGCAAAGAAATTATTATTATTGTTTATTTTTGAGTATACAACTTCTGCAAGTATTTGCATGAAAAATAGTGGATTTATTTTATCCAATATTTTTCTTGTAATATAGCATTTAGAAACATTTGCAACTTCTGTATTAATTTACAATATAATTATGTTAATGAAATATCTTAATTTAATTTCACTTAAAAATCCTTATTATCTCTGTGCATCATTTTGATTTTGTTTTGTTCATAAAATAATTGTACACTATCAAAAAATTGTAGAAGAAAATCTTAAGTTTTATCAGAATAAAATGCATCTAAGAAATGCAACTTAATATGCTTTTACAAAAATTGTAAGAAGGTATAGAATTTTTTCAGATGAAAGGAATTGTCTTGTAAAAAAGTTTGGAAGCCATTGTCCTAACCTAAGCATGTTTTATAAAATATAAAAGTCATAACACTGAATCAAAAGTTTTTTTTTATTCTAAAAAAAAAATAATAAATTCTTTGTTTCTTTTTCTTAATTTCAACTTTCATAGCATCCTATATATACTGTATATAAAAATTAAATTCTTTTTTACATTCGTTTTATTTTCCATATTTGTTCCATATTTTACTTATCTATGTCTCATTATTTCAAAAATATGTTATTCAAAATATGCTATATAACATATTTTATGCGTTTACATCATTCTCTAGATTAGATAACAAAAAATAAAATGAAACCTTATTGTTTTTAATGTCTACTGGAACAATTATTTTGACTATACATGACCATCTTGCTATAAAATAATATATATTCATTGACTTTCTATATTATAATATTTAAATTAAATGATTTAACATTGAAAAATAAACTAATGAACCATAATGTATTATAAATATTATTTTATATAGTTTCATAAAAAAATTAATCCACTTTCTAATTATCTAAAGACACATTCATAGAAAAAATATTTTTAAATTTATTGTTCATCAAAAATCTGATGTAAGTACATATTCTTTCATTTGTGAAAGTATTAAGTTATAACAAAATAATTGAAAATTACAGAAAACAAAACAATTATAAAATTGTTCATTTTAAAAATTACTATAAAAGTTCAAATGATACTATGGAAATACTTACATATTCTGATTTTCTTACATCATATCCACACTGTTTGTTTTTTATAATTTCCTAGACATTAAAAAAGGTACATAAATTTATATGATTCATTTAATTAAATATTATAAAATTTATACATCTTTATGGTTTGAAAATGTTTTAAATTTAAAATTAAAAACTTGATTTACATTGGGTTGTGGTTTGCAACAAGAAAATGGCACACCACAAGCTTCTCGACTTCCTACTTCAATACTAGAACAGTTGAAATAAATATTCATGTCCCAATCTTTAGGTCCTTCTATTCCACAGCATTCCAACTAAGAATGTATTTTACAAATTATGAGTAACAGTTCTATTATTATTACTTTTTCCTTATATTTAATCTTACCCATTGTTCTTGTATCCAGTCAATTAAATTTTGTTGATCAGGATGTATAAATTTTAAGTAAAACATGATTAACAGGTTGTTTTCAATTTTTAATATTATTTTTGATAAAATGAGAATTTTTAATTAACAATTTTTTTTGGATAAATAACCTGAGATTTGACGATAAAATCAAAAAACACACCATTTGTACTTTCCAAAATTAACTTTAATCACAGAACGTATGTTTATGTCAGGACATAAAAATGACTACCAATTTATTTATTACTATTTATTTTTACTTCCATAATAATGAAAATGGGTCAGAATCATTTTACTTTCTATTATACCTTTCCCAGACCCCCTGACATAGTCCACACACCCTCAAATTAATTTTAATTTCTCACGGACCCCATCAGCAATTCCAAGGACCCCCAAGGGCTCATAGGAACCATTTTAGAAAACAGTGCTCTAAATGAACCCGAAAGACTGTCACCATGTTTTGTCTTTATAGATTAAATTAAAAGTTACTACACAAAGAGATTAAATTTTAAAAAATCTCGTAGGCAAAAGTAGAGAAAAAAACAAGCTGATGTTGATATTTCAGATTAAGGTCAACAGGAAAGCTCAGATAACGATGATATTTTGCCAAAAAGAAAATCTCCTCAGTTTAACAGTGTTCAGCAGTGAAGAAAAAATTAATATTAACATGCAATACTCTTGATTATGATCACAATCAAAAGTATTGCATGTTAGTTAACTATTGATTGCTTTAATAGATATATTTCTCTTAATTGCAAAAAGAATAGTATACTTTTGCTAACTTTTGGAATCTAACCCTGTTTTTTACTTGTTCTTTGTATATCACAGATTTGCATAACACAGCACTTTTTTGGAACCCAACTACTGTATATGGTGGATACTGTTATATAGGAGATATCTGTACATTATCATACATTATTTAATATCAAACTACTACCATAATTTTATAATATAAAAGAAATATTCAGATAATAAAATCAGCAAAATTCAATCCATTAAGTTATCAGTTTTAAAAATATACTGAATTATTTGTATCATAGTATGTCACTTATAATAGAGAAAAAATTTGATCATTGTTAATGAAGAATTAAAAAAAATAGAGCCAATAAAAATAACTGATAAAACATGAAAACTAGGTAGTGCACATTTGTTTTTCATTTTTTAACATAGCAGTTCCAACCTATAGAGCATGCCTTTCTAGTGGGGCTTGAGACCTATCTAGGGCAGTAATTTTCAACCAATGTGTTGCAGCACATTGGTGTACCACAAATATTTTTGAAGGTTATTAAATAAATTATTTTTGAAAGAAGCCAAAAGAACAATAAATGTACCTGTCAAAATTAAAACCTCTTTAAATTGATTATACAAGTTTTTCATTGTTATAATAAATTTATATAATAAATATGTTTACTTATTATACATATATAAAATGTAGCAAAAATATATATATTCATAAGAAAAATTATGTATGCATAACACAAGGTTATTTCATTTAAAAATGAAATTATCTTTAAATCAAAAATGTATGTATAATTATCCATATTTAGTTCAAATTATTTTAATTTAGAAATAGCAGAACATTAGGCAAAACATGTCTTTTTTAAATGTAAATCAAGACTTAATGTTAATTGCTTTTCTTATGTAAATGAAAATTATTAATTTAAATAATTATTATTGTAACCTGCTGCTATTTTAAGGAACAACAATACTGCTTTATTTAATTTACAAAAATATAGACAAAAAGAATTAGGTTAAGTGGCAAGTAATATGGCAATAGAATGTTTACAAACAACTTTAAATTGCATTATCTTTTCTGCAGAAATTTAATTATAGGTTCAAGTGTGCCATGAGATAAAAAAGAAGGTTGGAAAACATTGATCTAGGGGATGCAAAGAAATTATTATTATTGTTTATTTTTGAGTATACAACTTCTGCAAGTATTTGCATGAAAAATAGTGGATTTATTTTATCCAATATTTTTCTTGTAATATAGCATTTAGAAACATTTGCAACTTCTGTATTAATTTACAATATAATTATGTTAATGAAATATCTTAATTTAATTTCACTTAAAAATCCTTATTATCTCTGTGCATCATTTTGATTTTGTTTTGTTCATAAAATAATTGTACACTATCAAAAAATTGTAGAAGAAAATCTTAAGTTTTATCAGAATAAAATGCATCTAAGAAATGCAACTTAATATGCTTTTACAAAAATTGTAAGAAGGTATAGAATTTTTTCAGATGAAAGGAATTGTCTTGTAAAAAAGTTTGGAAGCCATTGTCCTAACCTAAGCATGTTTTATAAAATATAAAAGTCATAACACTGAATCAAAAGTTTTTTTTTATTCTAAAAAAAAAATAATAAATTCTTTGTTTCTTTTTCTTAATTTCAACTTTCATAGCATCCTATATATACTGTATATAAAAATTAAATTCTTTTTTACATTCGTTTTATTTTCCATATTTGTTCCATATTTTACTTATCTATGTCTCATTATTTCAAAAATATGTTATTCAAAATATGCTATATAACATATTTTATGCGTTTACATCATTCTCTAGATTAGATAACAAAAAATAAAATGAAACCTTATTGTTTTTAATGTCTACTGGAACAATTATTTTGACTATACATGACCATCTTGCTATAAAATAATATATATTCATTGACTTTCTATATTATAATATTTAAATTAAATGATTTAACATTGAAAAATAAACTAATGAACCATAATGTATTATAAATATTATTTTATATAGTTTCATAAAAAAATTAATCCACTTTCTAATTATCTAAAGACACATTCATAGAAAAAATATTTTTAAATTTATTGTTCATCAAAAATCTGATGTAAGTACATATTCTTTCATTTGTGAAAGTATTAAGTTATAACAAAATAATTGAAAATTACAGAAAACAAAACAATTATAAAATTGTTCATTTTAAAAATTACTATAAAAGTTCAAATGATACTATGGAAATACTTACATATTCTGATTTTCTTACATCATATCCACACTGTTTGTTTTTTATAATTTCCTAGACATTAAAAAAGGTACATAAATTTATATGATTCATTTAATTAAATATTATAAAATTTATACATCTTTATGGTTTGAAAATGTTTTAAATTTAAAATTAAAAACTTGATTTACATTGGGTTGTGGTTTGCAACAAGAAAATGGCACACCACAAGCTTCTCGACTTCCTACTTCAATACTAGAACAGTTGAAATAAATATTCATGTCCCAATCTTTAGGTCCTTCTATTCCACAGCATTCCAACTAAGAATGTATTTTACAAATTATGAGTAACAGTTCTATTATTATTACTTTTTCCTTATATTTAATCTTACCCATTGTTCTTGTATCCAGTCAATTAAATTTTGTTGATCAGGATCTTCCCGGTAATGGATAATAAATGCTTGAAATCCCCCAGTTGCTTGAGATTTTATCTAAAATTAGAGAAAAATGTTTATTATATTTTGCGAAATAAAATTTATTTTAAATTCAAATTATTAAATAACATAATTATTTCAATAAACTTAAGATAATCTTCCAATAAATCAACAAATGTACTTTAAGATAATATAACTTTTAGAAATAAGTAAAATTATTAACAATAATAAAACCTGTCTAAAACGAAATCTAAATAAAACAAAAACCTGCTTAAATGGAAAAAGTTCTTCTGAACAGAGCAATTTTCTGTATTAAATTTCATTGTAAGATGGAAATCTGTCCAAAGCAGAAACAGAAGAGGATTTTGGTTATAACAGCAGTAACTTAACCTGACATCAACATAAAATTAAGATTCCATTTGCAGATCATAGCAGAACATAACAAATTGTATTCTAAGAATGATTTTGAATCTTGTCAGAAGAATGAAGATCATATGACAAGGGAGTATACAGATATAAGGTCTAGGTTAATATTAATCTTTGTTGGAATCACGTACTCTTAAGAGTCGAGAATTTTCAAGAATCAAAAGAGTTTCCAAGAATTGAATTTTTGAGAATAAGTAATGAATGTAATTCATGAAAACAATGAGAATAAGACAGCATGATGCTATAATGCTGCCAACTTGCCTTGATACATCAAAAAAAAAGGCTATTAACAAACACAATGACTTTTTGTTTCAATAATTCATTATTATAAAATATATTGCTTGCAATTGCAAAATAACATTTAGTTAAAAAGTTGACATTCATTCAAATAATACAGCAATCTAAATAATCATCATGAAATAAACATGAAATGTAAATTACTTTTTTGGTCTAATTATTATTAAAAATGCTTTATTTATAATAAAGCATTTTCAATAATACTTAATCTTTTATTCAAATTTTATATAACTCAATACATGATATTAATTTTAAATAAAACTTTCCACAACATTAATAAATAAAAAAACTATTCAATTACAAAAATTGAATTTTCAAATAAGCAATAAATAAATTATGATAACTGATATCAGAAAATAATTATGATGATTTTAATTTTAATGAAGTAAAACTTTTCAATTATTATAAAATTATACTTACCCAATCTTTAAAAATAAAACCCAAAATTCCAGCAGTCATTTCTAATAGCAGCAAAATTGCTAAAAATATTGCATACTGTAATAAAAAATGATTTATTTAATAAATTATTTTAAAATAAATCATTTTAATATATATTGTAATAGTATCTCAGACATTACACATTTAAATAAATGCTGAAGTTAACAAAATTTCCTTTTTATTACATGACAACAGAAATTTTTTCCTTCTTGAAAAAGTTGTTTTACAGGTATATGAAACCAACATTACATTGATGTTATATTTTATAATGAAAATACAGTGGGTGATTGGTTAATGAACAGATTGGATAATGAACACTTTCGCGAAAGATTTTTATGTTCGGACAATGAACACATGATCGGATAACAAACACCTCACAGAACAAACACAAGAAGAAGCGATGTAAAATAATGAATACCGATTGGTCTTCCCATGTCTTCGAGTAACAATTCGAAACTTTTCGAAGTGTGGGAAACGTCGACATCAACGCTCAAGCCGGTATATACCGATCGGATAGTATTCCTTCAAACACTCTCCCTTGTATCAATAATTACAGCCTTTTATTTTTCTGACAAAATAATTCTTTTATGTATTCGTGATACTGTCGGGTAGGCACTCATTAAGTTTTGCATCTGTTGTTCTTTTCAAAAGGTGAAAGTATAATAGCAAAGGTGGAGAGTGGGCAGAAGATGCTAATGTTGCTGGGCAGTATGGCGTGAACGGGTCTACAGTAGGCCGCAGTTCAATCTTATTTAAGAAAAATACTGTATAATCCAGAAGACTCAAGTAGCTAAAGGAGTAACAAAAATCAAATCTGAGAAATAAAGAACATCGAAGAGTTCATAATGGAACCCAAAATGGATCTGACGATAGAAGAATGCTAAGAACCCTTGAATGAAGAACACCAAGAATCTCGGTGAGGTATGTTTTCTTCTGAAAAAGAGGATTAATGCCGATATCTGTTATTAAAGATCCTTTGAAGAAGTGGAAGGATGTCAGAACAACGGTCTTAGAATGGCATCTAAACCAGGTTGAGGCTTGGGGATTTCTACAATTGTAATGCTATTAATTACTTACGAAAAATCCTGAAGAAGAGAGAAAAGCAATTGACATTAGAAAGATTCTTTAACCATTTCAAATGGAAAAAAACATGACTAATAAATATGCAAGACTGTGTGTGTATGTATTTTTATTATTACATATAAATAAACATAGTAAGAAAGTATATATTTTTTATTTTTGGGGTCTCCAGAATGAATTAATTAAATTCCCATTAAAACCTATGGTAAATTGATAATCGGTTCGAACAATTCGGACAGTGAACAAAGCCTTGGAATGGATTATGTTCGTTAACCGATCACCCACTGTACTTCTATAATATTAATATAATTAAGTGCATTTAATTTATACATACATCATTTTATGAAATTGCAAAAGTATTTTAATAAATTCTTATAAAATTTTATTTTAAGCTACTGCATATTTGTTATAGAGCAGATTAAAATAGTGAAATGTGATGTGACAGATGTGGGAGTAAAATCACTTTACATTGTAAAACGAATTGTAACAAGGCAGTTGGCTTCACACAGTCTTATGAATTTCGTGTATTTGTTTTGTTTAAGGTCTGCTGGAAACCAATTACTTTAATAATAGTAAGTTCATTGTTAGTTTGTAATTGTTCGGTTTTTAACATACTTAATAATATTTTATTATTAATAGTGGAACCGTCTACCAGAATTCAGAAAATGTGGGAGAAAATAAAACAGTTACTAGTCCTAAATAATGTGATATATCACATTATCATATAAAAAAATTTTATGCTTGATAGTTTTTAGTTCTTTAGTATATGGATTGTATTAAATATTGTAAATACAGTGCACTGTGTACATCAAAAATTCCTTTATATTGGTTAACTATTACTTTACTATGTGTTTGTAAGCTGATGAGGAGTCCTTGTACCTGAAATGCATCCTTTCCTAAATTTGAAGGTGATTATTATAGACTAGATTTTTTTTTGTAAAAGATCTGGTCTATTTTTCAGTCAGTCTTGGTGTGATAAGCCCTCCAGATTGTTAAAATCCTATTTATTATGCTATCTAACTCTAAATTAAAATAAATTTCATTT